TGATGAATTTTTGAAGGATTTTGAAAAAGGAAAAAACGATAATCTTGCTGGCCCAGCATCATCAACATTGACAAATGCCCCGGCATGAAGTGGTTAAAGAAGCAAATGATAGGTTCCTTTTTGTTCTGATTTTCTCTTCCTTTTTCTTCTCCTTGTTCTTCACCACAAAAAGCCAACTGCTTTATAGAAATTTTTCTTGTACGGGCCTCAGTCCCTTAACAAATTTGTATGTTCATCAAACAGGCATAAACCAAAGATCACAAGACATACAGCACATGTACTGGTAGACTGTCCTCCATGCATATCATGACAACATTCTCCCTGAGTGATGGGATGACTTGGTGAGGACATGGCTTTTTGAACACAAATTATAGAGCACCAGTACGGTATTTCAGAAGTTACAGGTTCAAATCCTGCACTAGTCAATATCTTTCTTCATCTTCATAATCATTTGTAAGTACCTAGCCAGTTTCCCTATGAAGTTTGTTTCAGTATTTGTGTTTAAAAAGCCGTATCCTCCTGAGTGATTCCTGCTCATCACTTCAAGGGGTTAAATCATGTAAGTGGGGTGTGATTCCCGCCTATATGCTGTTTCAGGTTTCACGGCTTCTGACTAGCATCCCCCAACAAGATACTGACATACACTGTACGTGTATGGGAAGAGCCACTAAGGAAGGGCTGGTCAGCTCAGTTGGTAAAGCACTAGTACAGCATTCAGGAGGTTGCAGGTTCAAAACCTGCTCATGTCAATTACTTTGTTCATCTTTATAATCATTTGTAAGCACTTAGTCAGTTTCACTATACAGTTTGTTTCATAATTTGAATATTTATTTCAACCCATTGAATTCATAATTAGTTTTTGCCTTTGCATCACTTAGCAATCTTCATCAAACTTACACCAATAAACCCTCAGTTCACAGCTGATGCTAGATGAATAATGTTATGATGACATCATCAGGTTTCAATAACAATCAGTGACAATTTGTTAATTTTGATTCTTATAAAATCAATCATAAGGTTCTGCAATTAGCTTTTAACAGCAAGTAACAGATTGCACTTGGGTTCACATTTACTTGTGTATGTGAAATCACCTGACTCCTGCTTCTAGTCAAAACTGGACATGACTTAAATTAAAGACATTTTGACATTTAAATTTGGTAAAAGAGACGAACTTGCTTTAAACCATTCCAGTCTCAGGTACATTGTATTCTTCAAAAAACTGTACCAGCGACATCACGAAAAACTCAAGTGCCCTCTAGCGTTTGGTTGAAAAATTCAAAAATGTATTTGTATGTCTGTGGCGAAGTTTGCCAAAATGGCTTGAAAATCCATTACATGTACCAACCAAAAGCCAGAATTGCAGGAAAGCCCCATGTTCTGTTGCAAACACAGAAACTCTCATTTTCTTTTCCTTAGCTTCAAGTTTTGTGTAACTTTCTACCCCGCCCCTTTTAATAGAATTAACTTTAGTATTTGACTTCCTGTTTTGGTTAATATGGGAATATTGTGCATCCGCCAATATCGTTGGAATTCTAGTGCCCCCTAGTTTTACTCGTTCTCATACCTTGCATTCCCAGGGTCTCTTTTGTAGGGACCCATGGAATTTCTAACACATCAATTCTCTCAAGAATGAATTCTTGGTGTACATTCATGACACTGATTTTTATTTGTTGATCTTTATTTAATTCCAGGTATTCATCACGGGGAGGAGGAAGTAGCGTATGATTTTGAGTATGCCAAGGACTGCATCATTGGTCTAAAACATCATATTGTGCAAACAGTGGCCCAGGAAAAATGCAAAGAGGATATCCTGGCAAATTTCACTTCTTCGGAAGCACTTCTGACCATAGACTGGGCTATGAAATATCTGCCCAGGCGATTTATGGAAGCTCAACAAGACTGCTTTGGCAAAAAAGGCACATCTTGACATGTGACTGTTACTGTAATAAAATCTGGTAGTGAATTGGAGGTAAGAGCTGGAAGATACAAATCACAGTATTTCATATGTAAGCCCCCTCATGCCTCCTATAATTAACCTCTTGTAGTTATGTCACTGAATGAAGAAAAGACAAATGCAAATGTTGCGATCATAACTTCTCAAACATACATGATAAATTGTCAATGACCTCATTGTATTGTTACACTCTATGATTTGGCAGTTGAATGGAATGGAATGATTTTGTGCATTTTCCGTCTCAAACTAACCTTTTTCATTTCGCTTTTTTCACTGTGCTTGGTTCATCTCATTCAGCAGTGTACCCAGAATTGGCGGAGTGTACTGTTAGTGTTGGAAGCTTCATTGCTTGAGCTGAAGCGAAGACATCCAAACATTGAGAAAATCTATCTGAGGTCAGATAATGCTGGATGTTTTCACACAGTTTGATTCTGCGCAACTACACTGTTGGAAAGTACACAGAGCCCAAAGTCTTGACGAGAGCAATTGGCCAACACAGAGAAAATTCTCAGTTCTCCAGCACAGAGTCAAACTGTGTGAAAACATTCCCCACCGATGAGCTACTGACGCACCATTTGGCAGCAGGACAGCATTATTATGTTTCGTCCCTTCAAGGAATCACAATTGGACCAGATTTAGTGGGCTGAAAAGATTGGGGAGTTGTGAGCTGGTACCCCTCATTCAAAGAAAGGTGGTGTGACTGTAACTTCAGAAGCAGCTTTGGCCTCCATGTCTCAGGCAATCCATTCTGGTTGGGCTCGTACACATGTAAATTGTCCAAGGTCAGAAAGAGGTTTTCACACCAAGTGAAGGATTTCTTGCTCGCCCAGGTAATGGTTGGTGTAAATACAGGAAAGAAAGAAAACCCAGGGACTGTGCCAAAACGTTTGGCCAGTATAGTAAAAAGACTTCATCGCCCAGGTGACGACTTAACTTGCTCAGTCTCCTGAAGGACACCAGAACTCATCATGTCGACAAAGTCGGGACAATCACACCAAACGGATCCAGACAGAGGGGACTCACACAAAACACGATCATCATCTATCCAAGGTGACTCTAACTCGGTGACAAAGGATGAGACCACCAGCCAGGTTTCATGATGGACTGGTGTTAGTGCACGGTCATCCATCAACTCTGCTGCACTGAGGGCTCGTGCCAAGGCAGAGGCAGCCAAGATGAAACTGGAGTTTGCTCGCAAGGAAGCTGAGCTTAGACAACGGAGCGCTCAACAAGAAGCCGAAATCTTTGTACTAAGTGCAGAGAGGGATGCTGCAGTGGCTGCAATAGAGGCGGCCGTTCTTGAGGGAGAAGTTGTCAGTGGGGACTCTGTTAAAAGTGATGGTTTGAGTCTTCCCAGTGAAGATTACAAGAAACGGGTTGAACAGTACTTGAAATCTTGTGATGCAGGAATTGCCCAGTGAAAACTGAGACTAATTACATCTCAGCACCCCCTGCTTCCCCTGTTCTTCCAACTACCTCAGCACCCCCTGCTGCTCCTGTTCCGCCCTCCACCCCAATAACCCCTGCTGTCCCTACTGCCTCACCAGGACCTGTAGATACAATGAATGTAATTTCTGAGATTAGTAACATGTTACTAAAGAAAGAGTTGGTTACAAGTGGTCTAAGATTGTTTAATGACCGTGCAGGTAGTTACAAATCTTGGAAAGCTTCTTTAAAACAGGCCATCAAGTGGCTAGGCAAGGAATCCGGCCAACTAGTTTCACCTATTCATGCCACTCATGCAGACAGGCCAGATTTAGGTCTCCAGAGAATATGCGATCTTCTGGACAGAAAGTATGGTGCTCCAGAAGCCATAGAGCAAGACCTCCAACACCGCATTGAAGATTTCCTCAAACTTTCTCAGCGAGACAATGACAGACTCCTGCAGTATGGACACTTGCTCACGGAGACTGAGTATGTGAAAGATGGGGGTAACTGCCCAGGGTTGCTGCATCTGGACTCTGGAAGGGGATTGCGTCCCCCGGTACAGAAGCTGTCTTACAATCTTCAAGAAAAATGGTTAATAGAGGGCACCCGGTACAAGGAGAAGCATCAAGTAACCTTTCCACCCTTCAAGGTGTTTTGCGAGGTTGCCCGGTACCAGGCCAAGGTGCGCAATGATCCAAGCCTCACGATGCCTCATGATCTCAAGCAACATGACATGCAAAAGAGAGCTGTCAATGTCAGAGCAACAGAAGTCAAGACGGTCATTCAGCCAAAGGATGGAGAGCGCTGCCCCATCCACAAGAAAAATCACCCCATCTTGAAGTGCAGAGCATTTCTCGTCAGAGTCCACCTGAGAAGAAGGCTGTCCTCAAGGAGCACCGACTATGCTTCACGTGCTGCCAGCCACACCATACAGCCCATGAATGCAAGGCCAGTGTAAAGTGTGACTCATGTGGCAGTAAACGGCACGTGACAATTCTTCATCAGGATCAGCACAGTGAGCTGGTGGACAGGCCACAGGAACCAAATTCTCAACCTACTTTGTCTCAGCCCCAAATTACGAGTGCCTGCTCTAAGGTGAGGGACACAACATGCAGCTCTGGAAAGTCCTGTGCAAAAATCATTCCAGTCCTAGTGAAGTCTAAGAAAGATCAAAGCACTTGCGTCAAGACGTATGATATCATAGACGAACAAAGTAATAAAACATTAGCAACTCATCAGCTGCTTGACAAGTTTAACATTGACTACAGAAAGGTGCATTATACCCTACGTACCTGTAGTGGAGAAGAGTTGGCACATGGCAGGTGGGCAGACAACTTCATAGTTCAAGATATTCATGGCACTGCGAGTTTGGACTTACCTGTTGTTACCGAATGCTCTCTCATCCCAGATTTCAAAGATGAAATTCCTTCACCTGATGTGGCCAGGGCATACGATCACCTGAAAGGTATTGACATACTGGAAAATGACCAAAACTGCACAGCAACTCGGTTGATAGGGAGAGACGTGCTAGAGGCATACCACGTCCTGGAACAAAGGATCGGGTCCCTTGGTGCACCATTTGCCCAGAAGATGAAGCTTGGTGAAGTGTGCCTTCGGGGTGTCCATAGAGGTGACGGCCCTTGGGACAAAATTGTATCCCTGCGAACTCGGGTGCTTTCCACAGGACGTCCAACTTTTCTTGAACAATGTCCGAATGAGTTCCATGTGAAGCATGTTTGACAATGAAGCTGACAGTGTTAGCCTGTCCATTGAAGAAAGGCAGTTTGTTGACCTCATGGAGAAGGAAGGAAACCTTCAACATGGCAAGAGAACAGCACCATTACCCTTCAAAGAGCCAAGAGTCGACTGCCCAATAATCGGCAGCAAGCTTTGAAGAGAGCTCAAATTCTCCGAAAGAGCTTGGACAGGGATCCCGTCAAGAGAGGACACATGCTGACATTCATGGAAGGGGTTATTTCTCAGGTATATGCCGAAGTCGCTCCACCTCTGCAAGCAGATGAAGAGTGCTGGTACTTACCTTTGTTCGGAGTGTACCACCCCAAGAAGACAGACAAGATCAGAGGTGTTTTTTATTCTTCAGCCCAATTCCGGGGCCACTCGCCCAGGTACTGTTGAAGGGCCCCGACCTTACCAATGACTTGGTGGGTGTCCTCATGAGGTTTTGCCAAGGGCAAGTGGCAGTCTGCTGAGACATTGAGTCTATGTTCTTTTGCTTTTCGGTGTCAGAGAAACACAGGAATTTCCTTCGTTTCTTCTGGCATGAGAGCAACGACTTCAACAAACCTCTCATTGAGTATCATATGCTGAAGCATGTGTTCGGCAATACTCCTTCTCCGACAGTAGCAAATTATGGCCTGAGGGACCTGGCTTGTGATGCTGAACCTGATGTCAAAGACTTCATCTTCAACGACTTTTACGTGGTTGACAGACTCAGGTCATGTGATGACAGTGACACGGCCATCTCACTTATGAAGTGCACCAAAGCCATGATGAAGGAGAAGGCCGGCATAAATCTGCACAAAATTGCTTCAAACTCCCAGGCAGTACTCGATGCATTCAAGGCAGAAGAGGTCCAGAAAAAAATCAGGAACCTGACACTCAGTGATGGTGTACCTACACAGTGAAGTCTAGGTGTTCCGTCGGACCGTGAGTGATGACACCTTCAGGTTTCATACCAATCTAGAGAAAAGACCCTACACGAGGAGAGGCATCTTGTCAACAGTTAATGGTGTATTTGATCCTCTCTAGTTTCCTCGCACCAGTCATGGTACAAGCAAGAGCTCTGTTCAGAGATATGACCACCCACAATGTCAGTTGGGATGATAGCCTTCC